GCCCCTAGTAGCATCCTTGCTCCTAGTAATAAGGCAGAGCCCCTAGTAGCATCCTTGCTCCTAGTAGTAAGGCCAGGAGCCCCTAGTAGCGTCCTCGCTCCTAGCGATAAGGCCAGGAGCCCCTTGCTCCTAGTAGCAAGGCCAGGAGCCCGCGTCACCCGACAGGCCGAGCGGCCACGTGGCCGGTTGATACGACCACGGGCGAAGAGCTCGAAGTCGAAGAAGGCACCTGCATACCGACGAGCGAGCGACCGCGGTAGTAAGGCCAGGAGCGCCGAGTAGCGTCCTCGTTCCTAGTCATGTGCCTAGTGGCGTCCTTGCTCCTAGTAGTAAGGCCAGGAGCCCCTAGTAGCGTCCTTGCTCCTAGTATAAGGCCAGGAGCCCGCGTCACCCAACAGGCCGAGCGGCCACCTGGGCTGGTTGACACGACCACGGATGAAGAGCTTGAAGTCGAAGAAGGCACCTGCAAACCGACGAGCGCGCGACGCAGTAGTAAGCCCAGGAGCGCCGAGTAGCGTCCTCGCTCCTCGCAATGTGGCCAGGAGCCCCTAAGAAGGCCAGTAGCAAGGCCAGGAGTCCTTGCTCCTAGTAACAAGGCCAGGAGCCCCCTACTAGCGTCCTGAAAGTAAGGCCAAGAGTCCCTAGTAGCGTCCTTGCTCCTAGTAATAAGGCCAGGAGCCCCTAGTAGCGTCCGTGCTCCTAGTAGTAAGGCCAGGAGCCCGCGTCACCCCACAGGCCGAGCGGCCACCTGACCGCGGATGAAGAGCTCGAAGTCGAAGAAGGCGCCGCGCATCAGCCGCTGGCGCATCAGCCACCGAATGACATGGAGCGGCGAAACCAACAATTGAAAAGCGCTACATCCACAACGCAACATAACGTTGCCATTAGCAACCGAAGCAAACGTTGAGCAAGGTCATTTGCTCGAAAAGTGTAACAAAACAGAATGTTGAGAAGGGTCCTTGAAAGCACTAGGAGCAACAAAGTCCACAGTCTTGGCAGGGTCAGATTGTGGTTTTGCTATCATCTTGTGGTCTGCTTGTCTTTAATTTCTGTGATACCGTTTTTCCTTTCAAAGTTGTTCCGCTTCCTGGCTGCAATCCAGAGCAAGAATGACCGAAGGGTTTCCGAAAACTGCTTCTGGAGGTGGTCCAAAACATAAACCCCGGTAACAAGGCAAGGGCAACCGCACGCAACCAAACAATTTGCGTCACATGTTTCTTTATTGGGCCAACCCTGTAGTTGACGCATCATATTACACGGTAATAGTATGTCAACATCAAACATCTCACTATCTCTTTGAGGAGCTCATATTATCTGCCTCAGCTGCTGCAGGGTACTGCGGGCACGACAAACCTGGACAAGCAAGCCTAGACAGAGAGAGAGGGAGAGATGTGAGGGACTCTAGCCCAGCATACGCCAGCTTTTGCGAGCACGGCCAGTTCGGCAAGGTTGCTCTTACAGCCCTCGCTCAGCAGTTGTCAGCTTAGCTGTAAACAAAAAGCTAGCACGTGGGTGACAGGTGACATATTTATCGCTTGCGCCGGCTTCTGCGAGCACGGCCACTTCAGCAAGGTTGCTCTGACAGCCCCCGCTCAGCAGTTGTCAGCTTAGCTGTCAACAAAAGCTAGCACATGGGCGCAAGTCTCTCTTTCCCCAAACACTGCCAATGTGCCCTGCAATATAGCTATGTGGACATCTGCTCAGACTGCTCAGATTGCACTCGACGCGCCAGCAGCCAGGTGAGATCAGCAGAGCTCAACTTGCCAGCGCGCCGCATGAGTCTCTGTCGCTTTTTCTCCTGCATGTGCGCCAGAATGAGTCGCGCCGCGCGCAAGTCGGAAGCACAAGCAACACAATACTGCATCAAATTTCAACAATACATGTGGATCATGCGCCGGTCGCCTCATTGCGAACCTCACGGTTCGCTTGCTGGAGCTGCCGCTTCAGGTTCTGCCGCTGTGTTTTGAGCGAAACCAGCCGATCGGCGGCTGGGTGCCTCACGACTTAAATTCATCAGGAAGTGGTTGGAGGTCTGAACCAGTCTGGTGCCAAGTATAGCCTTTCCAAAAATGATAAACATTAATGTCCAGATGCGGCCCAAACAAAATCACGTTGCTTGTGGGCGCTCCCAAACATGATCAGCGTACTATGTGCGTGCCGGCGGTGCGAACCAACAGATATATGATGGCGGGGCGCCTCGCAGCCGGAGCTGCTGCTGCTGTTGCTTCTTCATCAGCGGCTGCGTCAGACATGGCAGTCGGGAGTGTCTATATAATATATAAATATTGGGGACGAGTGCTTGAGCAACATGTACTGCCCCACGGACGGGCACCGACGGCGCCCGACGGCGCGAATTTCCAAACCGAAAAATGGACCGTCTTCCAAGTTCAGCAGTTGCACCCCTCGAAGAATTGACTGCACGGGCACTTTTTTGCATGGTGCTTCCTCAGTCTTCACCATCATACAAACACGCATATGCGTATTTCATGCGACGGTTCTGCGGCCATATCAGCCGAACGTCCTCTGACGTTGGCTTGGATGAAGCAGGGAGACATGTAGGGTGCTCCATGAAAGAGGCAAGTACAGAGTGGAGGTCGCTGGCTTTGCCACTGGCCCCAACTCCGCGGAAACATTTGGCCCAAGACTTGGAACAAAAAAATTGCCTTGGCGCCTGGCCTAATTGCCACAGCCACGCTAAAGTCGATGGCAAGCCATCAGTGGCTGTCTGCCTGTGCTCGTGGTATTTCTGGCGGAGGTATTGCTTGAAGCTGGAGAACGCATAGACGTCCAAAGGCTGGCACAGGCTAGTTGCTCCACATGGAATATATACCAGCGAAATGTTCAACTTTCTTGCAGCACGCATGACTGCCTCTGAAACGTGAGCTGGCGCCCCGTCCAAGAGCAATACCGGCCTAAATTGATGCAAAAACGGTTCTAATGCTTTTGCCACTTCTTGCAAGATTGCGATCATCAAATCACTGGTAACCCACGCACTCTTCCGGCGAAGCACTTGCAATTGGGTCTTCGGCAAGCACTTGAAGGCCTTCACTACCTTGCTGCTCAGCCTGGTGCCATTGCTCACAAGAAAGTGGGGTAGTGCTGGTTGAATTCCTGTATTTGAAGCAATAACAGCGCAGTACGTGAAAGTACCTCGCCTGCCGGCAGGCTGGATTTTGGCGTGGGGCACGGCTGGGAGGCCGGAGCCCTTGTACTGCTTGCGGTTGATCACACAACCAATAGCAGGTCGTGCAGTGTAGGGCACACTTGTTTCATCCACATTGAGATACAAAATCTCACGACCATCACAAGCCTCTGGACCACGCTGAAACGCCAGCATCTTCCAGAAGCATTTCACCTCCGAGCCATTCATTCTAATTCAAAGCACACCCTCAAAAAAGAATCCGGGGCCAAAAACTGTCCCCAAAGCTGCCTCGCAACCGAAAACAATTTTTCACAAGGCGGACCTTGTTTCAGGTCCATTTTTCGGTCCCATTTTTGGCCCCTTGGTTTGACCGGTTTGACCACCTATACTGACACCACTCGAAGCACCTTTGCCCGCAAGCTCGGTGCATCTGCTGGAATGGCCATGGGCAAGGCCGCCCTTCGGATGCCAAAGCGTTTTCGCCAACCAGCAGCCCACTTCTTGATATAGTCGCGGCTTGGGAGTACCTCCGGTAAACCGCCCGAGCGTGTCTGCGCAAAATGCGCAAAAACCTCAGCCGAAGTTGGCGCGACACCATGGAGACTGTTTTGCGAGTGGACATAGTCCACCGTCTTCACCTCTGCCACAAAGCGAACGGCCACATTTCTGGCTTTTGTCCAATCATCATCGTCGCTGTGCAGCCGCAGGAGCTCTCCAAGGTTTGTCTCTCGAAACAGAGATTGGACCAATGGTTCTGACGGAAACTGGGGGGAAGATCTCTCCAAGTCGCTGAGTTGCTGCGCAAGCTTGGTGGCAATGGCGCTGTTGTAGTTTGACAAGCAATAGCAAGCAAGTACTGCCTTTTGTCCTGCTGAAGTCAAGCCTAAATTACCACGTTTGGCCGCCCACCTCGCCACACGCTGCCGGCACTGCGCCAGCTCACGCCTGTTTTCTTGCAACAGCAGCTGCAACTGCTGCACTCTGGCTCTCTTTGCGCACGGTGATTCTGCCAGCGACATGCTCTTCCCCACCGGGGCACATATACAAACGCGGGAGTGCGCTGCGCCAGTAGCTGGACCGTTGGCAAATTGTCTTTGGCCGAGAAGGTCTGCGGAACAACGAAATTGGTCAAGGCACGGGAAACATGGAGCATTCCATAACGTGATTGGCTGCTGCGCACGAGTGCAAACATACAACGTGTGTTATATTGTATGAGTTTGTGACACTGCCAAGCTTCGAGACAGACTCTATGAAAAGGAAATGACTGCTCAGAAGGCAACAGTTAGAAGACTGGAGTCTATAGTGCACAACACACACACACATCTAGGGCCCAATGAAGGGAAGTGGAACTCCTACCTCTAAAACGTCCCAGTTTGGTGTGCCACCCCGGCGTTCTTTGTTTCCACTGCACAGCTCGACTCATGGAATGAATGGGGGGCAATGGCCGCACCTCAGCAACACGATCCGATAGCCCGGTTGTCTTCCTTTGAACCAGAATCGGTGGTCTCCTCAAATTTGAAGCACCAAAGGAACCTCATCTACAAACCGCAATTTCTACACCTCGCGATGGTGTCGGTTGGGTCCCAGATATATCCCCTGGTAAAAAAAACCAATGTCAAAGTGTATGGTTTTCTCACATTGTGTCCACCAGACTTGAGTGGGGTTGTGGGAGGTGAAACCCTGAACCGGTGTCAGGTAAAACTACTTCTACGATTGTAGTACATCACAAATACGGGTCCACCATCCCACGATTGCGCCCTCACGTCAATACCACTATTCTTTTCTCGCGTAGCGCCTTCGGCGTCTGTTGATAGACGATAGATGCTGCAATTGGCATATGAATACACTGTTCAGAAATTCAAAAATCAAATGAATCTTCCATCATCTCGTTGAGTTCATCGTCATCCGGCCACAAGAGATCTTCCGCTGCAGCCGCTGCTGTCTCTGAGATCCTATGGGCCTTGAAGGCGTCCGCTCCGGACGACTCACCCTGTGGCTCCTGATCTGGCCGCAAGATCGCAGCCGCTGCAGCCACTGGTGTATCTGAGATCATACGGGATGCACAGGCGTCCGAATCAGCCTGTGGCTCCTTGCCAGGTAATCCGAGAATACCCAGCCCAAGATCAAGCGCCAGTTGGGAATGCAGTTGTGGAGGGAAACGGAACATGAACAAAGCACAAGATTTAACAGTGCATAATGTTGGAAATATAGCCTCAGCGACAAAACATCAGATGTAACACCGCACAGTGTGGGAAGCAATTTCAGTAACAAAAAACTCAACCTTGAGAAGGGCCATTCCAGCAAAAAAGTAAAGTTGCGAAGGGCCAGGCATTCCAGAAAAACACTTTCCAACTTGGAATTTCCAACAACCAAAACATAACGTTGGGAAGGGCCATTCAAAGGAGATTCAATGAACCTCGCTGACCACCTGCGTTACACACTTTTGGGGGGCAATACACCTCCCTTGGATGGCGCTTCGTAACGTTACGTTGTTACCCTTGCACGTTGCTTCCCTGTCCTTGAACAGCTTGTTTGGGCAGTCAACCCAAACAATTCTCCGATCAATTGCAGCCTGATGACTGGAATGAAAATACTCTGGGGGCCAAAACTGTGGGACTTCATGGTTTGTAGTGAAGATCCTTGGCGTTTGCGCTGGAATGTGTCCGTCAGAGCAACGGTTGTGCACATCGCGTGCGTGAGTCACATCGCACCAAGCTTTCGCATCATCAATGCTCACTGTCCTGAAACAAGCCTCATCGACAACAAGTCCCTCACCTGGGTGCACGGTGATCTTATGCATCTGGTGCACGGTGATCTTATGCATCTGATCAAGCTTGCTGACAAAGTGGATGCCAGCGCGGCATGTGGACAAAAGCACGGATATAGCCATTTCAGTCTTCCCAGTCCCAGGCGGACCACGCAGGATTAAGGTATGGGTGAGGGATTGGGTCTCCTTCCACTGCAGGACCCGTGGAGGTACATCAAAGTGCTCCAAAGGAAAGCGTGGTGAGGTGATAAGAGTTGAAGCCCCCAAGGTTTCAGGTCGGTGCCACGCAGCCAAGATTTTCTGCACTTCCGCAGCTGGATCCCGAAGCTGCCCCACATGGTCCCAAACCAAAGAGTTGCCACGCATCTTTTCCTCTTTGGCGGCCTGGCGATGAGAGGGAATTATAAACAAAGCACTTTGGGCATGACCACAAAACCCGCGGCATCCCCAACGAAGTGATTGGACCAAACATTGGACTGCCTATGATGCACCTTGTCGTTCCAACCGCGTTGTTTCTACCAAGGAGGATGCTTATCTAAGACTGATATTACGCTTGATGGAAAACAGTCTCCAGATTGTATGTGTGCCAGGCCTTCCATAGCTCTGCCACTGTTGAAATCTTCCTTTCGACAACAAAGTCTGTAAGCTCGCTAAAAGACATGCGCCGGCGTCGTTTCTGCAAGGCCTCCGACGGACCTTTCTGCAGCCCCTCATTCTTCTTTCTGCCAGCCACCTGCGAGGACATCCCTGCAAGCTCGCCATCAGCTTTCTGCTTGGTGTAACTTGACGGATAAAACACAAGGTCACGGTCTAAATCATGCGCTGGTTTCTTTGCGCTCTCCATCATCAGGTAATCCAGATAGGCGCACCAGCCCGCGCGATGAAATGTGAAGAATCCATGGTACCCAAACTCTTCGGCCAACAGCTTGCGAACGCCAG